CACATGATCTAAATAATGAATATCAAATTAGGCCGAACAGCGCCTCAATTTCATCTTCAGTCATCACCCAGTTAAAAGTCGTGACACACCTTTTCTGTCATTCAAAAGCTGAGTAAATGGGACCAACCCAAATACGAGACATTTGGGTCAACTGTTCTATTTTCATAATAACAGAAGGAAATTTGTATGCATGGTGGGGCTTGTCATTATGAATCTGTTGAATGTACCACACAACAATGCATGTCTACTTTTAAATAGGGGAGCGGGGGTTAGCCAGTGTGTGTGGGTTGATTACATCAGCACCAGTGTGTAGTACTGGGAACTGATCGTCACCATGGTCACTACACCGAGATGACCATTACACTTCCCTCTGTGCCTGTCGTCACCTCTCATTGTATGTGAACATACCTACACAGTCGGAGACTAAGTTTACTTTAACGTGTCAGACAGTATAGGACTTGCTACATCCTGTTTTGTTTTTGTTGTTTAATGCTTCACTCAGCTATTCCAGCTACGTGACAGCAGCCTGTAAATAATCAAGTCTGGTCCAGACAATCCAGTGATTGATATCCGGCCACTGTGGTATGATGGCATGCAATCTACCAAGTCACCAAGTCTGACCACCGATTCATTAAGTTGTTTGACCGAGATACAGCTGTAGGTTGCTTGGGACCTCATATAACCTGCGAGTCCACACAGGTTTGCTTTAAGCTTTTGGCCGAGTATTGTAAACAAAGAAAAGGAAATGACAGAACTCCATAATTTCTGGCATACTAGGGTTGTTATGATACCATATTTTCTTGAGTATAGTGCACCCTTTTTTTCCAATATACACTTTATATCAATACACTGATACACATCTCGATGAATGACAATAAGGTTGCAATACTGTTTGGGTTTTAAAGCTCAGTTTGTAGGATAACCATAACACTGATTGTCATCCAAATAGGTCACAACAATTCTTTTTTAATTTGGTAATGATGTAGAAGAGTGTCTACAAGACATTTTTTATCAGATGTTTATGGATGGCAACTTCTTTTGTTCTTTATACAATGTTTAAGAGCTACTTATTGTCCTTTATCAGGTGAATGTCCTCTCAAAATTTGAATAAATCATGAAAATGTCTAAAGTGGCATTCGCACATTTTCATACTGAACATACCGTATGCACATGATGAAGGCATCTGTATTCCAATTGATTTCAATCAAAAGTCTTGCCTTGAATACCAATCCCCATTAACAATAACGTGATGAAGGTTTCAACAAAATTTCCTTTCTACTAAGAATTATGATTATTAGACGAACCTCTTGACATTTATCTGTATCCTGTTGTTATGCAAATAATCATGACACAGTAGTATTTTCCCTAATTTCCAAGGCGGATATATCAACACAATTACATTCATTCATAGAATATGACATCTTATATCAAATGAAACAATGGAATTTCCACCTTTGGGGATTTTTCACTGAACATGTTAAATTCACTTGAAATGGACATTCTACAACCCCAGGGGTGTTGCTTTCAAGAATGATTTTTGCTAATAGCATGTAACATTGTTGCTAGTCTTCTGCTAGTTCCTGTATTCAACAGTGAGAATTTACCGGTACCAGAGCTCCAGATAAGCTTTTGGTGTTGTGGGTATTTTACCCATGCATTTTAAAATCATTGGGTATCAGTAATTCTATCTGGGTATTCAAATTTCTGTTACCCAATAGTTGCTACACATGTGGGTATTTAAGTTAAATATTTAAAAAACACTATTCATCTAGTCCCTGCAAACTGGTGTCGTGTGGGTTCGAGAGCTTTGTAGTACTAAAAATACCACGATAGTGTGATGGCAAATGATCATGATGTAACTGTCATCTTGGAGTTTGGCAAGGTTGACGGAATGCCCATTTATAATTTCAAAATTAGTTGCTGATTTGCGAATCGAATACGCAGGGTTACTTCACAATATTTTGATGATACGCACAAGTTATATTTTTGTAGCGTATTTGATACGCTTGGATTTTATTTTACTGCGTATTTCTGCATTTCTGATGTGTATTTTACTCAGATACGCAGCTTATCTGGAGCTCTGCGGTTCCATGATCTTAAACTGGCCAGGGATTTATCTAGGCTTCCAAACTAAGTACCCTTGGCAGGGAAACATCATTATCTTGTTCAAAATTGGGGTTTTAAGTTCTTATTTTCCTAGATTCAGAGGTATTTTTAGCATTTAATTTTAACTGCCTTCAATGCAATAATGTAAAACTAAGCATGAAAACCTAAACAAAAGAAAAATTTCAATTGGGGAATTATTACTGACATTTGCTGCACATTTGGGGGCCAAAATACCAAGCTAATCAGGTCAAGTTAAATCGATCATCACAAGCATATCACACATTCACTGTATCATGTAGGGGGGAAAAGATGCATTGGTGCACCATGAGTTTTCATGATACGATATGATACACGATACGTTTTCTTCTATATCAATACTAGACGATACACTCGCTAAATGAAATTACTTACTACACGAAAAATGACAAGCAGCATTACTGTCAGTCAAATATCAAGAAATGTGTTGTAATTAGGGTTTCAAGTTGTCTACTAAAAATAGCTGCTACGAACATGTGTCTAAAGCTTTTTGTTTTGAACCTTGTATCGTGACCTATGTATCGCGATACGTATCGTACCGTGACCATGCTGTATCATTTCACCCCTAGTATTATGTGTAAACTAAAATGAATGACGTACACAAGATGTTTTTAGTAGTTTGTTTTGATTGCTTCTTGTGTAATGCCACACTCAGTAATCAGGCAATATTCCAGCTGAGATGATGATCTGTAAATAATTGTGTCTGGACCAGAAAATCCAGTGATTGACATCACGAGCCCTTATTTTATCTTTGCTTTGCAATATTTCAAAAAGATGTTTGTCGGAGATACAAAATTGAGAAGAATATAGCCTTTACAAATGGTAATGTAGCTACATTTTATAAATCATGGATCTTTTATCACACATTGTTTGAAGAAGCAGAACAGCAATAACATATGTATCTTTTCTCATATTTGTTTCTTGCCAGGATCAGTGTTTGCATAATATTTTGAATGCTTGACTGTGTGTATGTTGTGTTATATTTCTTAAAAATCACCTTGGCACCATTTCCAATACTTGTATTTAATTTTCCCAAATGTATACATACATTGTCTTCAGAATGGGAGGGTGACCATTGCCCTGGATGGCCATCCTCCTCATGTAACAGGGAAAAGGTGAAAAAAATGTATAAAACAAAAAAAAGAATAAAAATATGACTGATAAGCAAACTGAACTTAAATAACAAAGAAGTCAACCTAAATTCAGCAAAAAGACTCATTCAAGGTTCATACAGATATGGAATACGGAAAGTCAAGGCCTTTTCAAGACTTTCAACTGTCATTTTCAAGGCATTTTAAGTCTGTCAGCCAATGTGGTTTTATTCATATCCAGCATACTATAGAGTAGTCAAAAGACCTTACAAGCAGTATGAACATCACAAAGTTTCCAAAAAGATTTATTTTACAACTATAATAAAAAAATATAGTCTGTCATGGATTCCAATACATTTATCAACAAGTTTGTATATGTCATTTTCTACAAATTTAAGGCTTTTCAAGCTATTTGGGGGATTTTCAAGGCTTTTCAAGGTTGACACTAAAAATCAAGGCTTTTCGTAGCTAGCTAGACCTTCTCTTCACTGAACCTTAACTCTGTTTTACTTGGAGTAGTTTTCTCACCACTGCTAATATAACACAACAATGTGTCTTATGTGTCTTGGCATAACTTGACAAAAGATTCATAAATTGGCATGTCAGTGTCAACTGATCCTTCAAACACTCCTCATACAATACACAACATCAAACATTGTTTTTCTGGCATTCTTTTTCTCCAAAAACATAACATCTTTGTCGTGTGCGAAATGGAGAATGTTGACAATGGTTAAGCAAAACCTCATGCCAGTTATAGTGATGTAAGGCCTATATGTGTGTCAAATGCTCAGTGTTTTGATCTCAACAGCAGCTTCAACTGTTTAGTAAATATATAATCCTGTTCATCATGTTTGGGGTGTTCTTATAACCCCTCCCTTTACCTCCATCAAAATTTCGAATGATGCAATGGTTAGAATTGCAGAACTATTTAACCACTTGATATTTCTAAAATGTGTAAGGTTTTCCTGTCTATATGTCATCATAAGGGCCACCCCTAGCTTCTACCACTGTTACTGTTAGCAATAACCATGAAAACATGAAAAAGATTGTCTTCAAACATACTAAGAAGTAGGCTTTATGCCAACTTCCTTGACTACTGATTTCACTAACACATATCTGACACTTGAAGGATAAGCTCTTATCACCTTAATACATAATATTGAATAACAAATTATGCAACAATGATAAAACTCACAGGGCAGCCAACTACAATGATTTGTCATCTCTTGTTCTACTAAGAGACTGCCTGCAGAAGGAAATATTGCCATGAGAGAGAAATTTGATAGGCCCATTATTTATTTTGTCACCCTGCCCTAAATTCCAATTTTACACAATGCTAATGTCGACATCTGTGGTTTTCCCTCATGAACATTGGCAGTAACTGGATAGAAGATGACATTAAAGTGAGTCACACCACCTGCATAAGCACTGATATAACAAACATACATTAGCAAACGATAGTCATGCAGTCAGTCTGCCCATCTGTCAAATGAGCGACCAGCCACAACTACACCCCACTGTCTGCAACAGTCACTAAGCGATGAGAATCATAATTCTGCAGCAAGATGACACAGAGATTAATTGATATCCATGTGGCATTTATACTAAACTGACCTTTATTCAGTGATATTTACGAGGAGATGTTGCTGTTAATAGGCAGCATAGTTATCATAGCAGCTTTCGAACACACCCTGCTCGTATACACATTTGCTCTGACCTCATTCAGAAGTATGCAGGGGTGGATCATAATAAACGGTGTATACTTACGGTTCGGATTCTAAACTCTTTAACTTGGCCACATAATTGGACGGTATATATCCCTTGTTTTTAGTAATCTTGGATCTAGCATTCCACCAGTCCCCTTGGGTATCGTCTAGAATTTCTAAGTGTTCCCCTTTTCTAAAACTCAAATCTTCATCAGTCCTTGCGTCGTAGTCGTATAATGCAACAAATATTTTACTCGAGGAGAGAGGCTCTCCTAACGATTGTTCTGACTGATGTTTTGGAGATGCTGCAATCGGAGATGCTGCCGACTGGTTCACATTTGTCACAATTGATCCCCCAGTGCTCGACACGCTCACAGCACCATTTTCCGACGCTGGTTTCGTGCGTTGAGGGGTTTCCACACCTCCATTGTTGGTTCTTGGAGCTGGGGTGTGATCGGAACCACCGAAACAGTTTCCCATCTTTTATGAAATAGAGTAGCCAAACGAAAACAGTAATCCTAGGGAAATAATGGACGTTCTCAGCCCTTACACCCGGCCGTGGTCCTATGCCATCCTCGTAATTTATCCGCAAGGGGAGACGATCTCATTGACATTATTCAGAAATATTCGTGATGATCTCAGCCGGCGCCGAACAACTACCTTTACAATGTACATCCGCCGGAAAAGGTTCGGCGTAAAGAAAGTGCATATGATGTGAACAAGGAAGAATATCTTACAACTTATGTTGAGAACTATTGTAATTCTTGTTATATATTAAATAGAACTACTATTGAGATGATTACAACAACATTATTCAAATCAAAACAGTGATGCAAGGTGCGAGATTCATACGCCCTGGGTTAGTCAGTCCCCTCTATGTAATTTGAGTCGAGCAATTTCATTGGTCGTCAGCTTTGGAACTTTCTCTTGAAATCATTACCACTATCATCCAATCAACGCATCTGTCACATGCGAATTAGGTCAAAATTAGATCGAGCTCTTCCTGAAAATCATTCGATTCATTTTATTGATTGATATGTCATTGCTGCTTGTAATGTGTATTGTTAATTTAACTGATAGCGTGAGGCTGGCTGCTTATTATTGTGTTAGGAAATGGAATTGCAGGGTCAACAAGAATATTGGAAATTCGTATATCGTCTTTTAAATATATCCATCTAGCAGATATATAGATGTCTAGATCTACAATAACATTTTTGGCCAGTTGCCACAATTAATTGATTCATGTATAAAACATTGTTCAATAAAACAAATGTTATTGGTGAAAATGAATTATGGATGTTGCGCATATTTTATACTTGTAACCTTTTCTAAAACTTAAGACTTTGGATATCACGTTATTATACCAGAGACCATATCGGCATATGGTCTCTGATTATACTTAATCCGTTTTCCTCAAAACAGGGACCATATACCGATATGGTCTCTGGTATAATAACTTAATTTCCAAATTCCCCGCTCAAAACGATCTAAAAAGAATTCAATATCTAGGGCCTTGAAAAAATAGACCTTTAAATTATCATGTTATATCAGTATGCGTCCAGAAGTGTGGGAATTAATACGTCCCGCGTCCACCCCAACAATCGCGTTAAGGAAGAACTATTACAGAACGAACAGATAATACTGTGATGTACGGATGAATGAATAACGAATGGAAATTTGTTCAGCGAAGTATAAAATAGCAAATTGTAGCACGTCGCGATGATTCTCATCCTTTCTAAAATCGAGGTGGTAAAATAAACGCGTATATGATCATTGCAATGGACCTTTTAAACGTTTTTGTGAAAAATTATATGTTTTACCCAACAATTCTTGCTCCTTAATAGTTGTCCCATAGCATATAGGTCTCACTAACAATATAACCAGGGGTTGTAATGATTTCAGATAACGGACACATCAATGTTCTCTGTGTAGTTCACGTTAATTGACAAATAATTGTGCATGCGTCAAATATCGCCCACTTCTTGCGTAACCATTAAATCCCAGTCGAAATCCTTTGTAAATGGCCAGGTGGCCTATTGTAAATGTCACACCAGGTGAAAGAACTACCGGAAATGAACACGTGCATATTGCAATCAATCAACTGCAAAGCGGCAAGCGCTCAATTACACGTTCCTGCATGACCAGTAATTAACAACCCATTTGGAATTTTAACAGATGTCTTAATTGCTTGCGTGTGTTTTATGTGTGTTACCCATAGATGATAACATTATTTACAAATGAAATGTCCAGGGGAAACTGTTAGGCCACACTGATGATGCCTTGAATAACTTGTCTTTCATTTATTTTCATGTAAAGAAAATAATTAAATATTGTTCTTAAAGCAACTGCTTTTGTGTGCGGGTTATATATATATATTTAAGATAAAGACCATTGTATGTTGTGATGTGGCTTAATGTGTTGTTAAAACCTTTTTTATTATTCGTAATTCTTTTAAAGCGTGCGTGATATTTGTCCTTCACCAGTGTGACCGAATTTGCATACAAAACAAATATTTTTTTGTCTGACAGTTATTTACAAAGTGGAAACAATTTATGGACAAGAACTTCTTTAATATACATTATTATAGTGACGTTTCGGTACAGATCCTTACCTAACAACGGTATAAGCATCTATACCAAAAGGTCGCTATAATGCTATATTAAAAAAAGTTGTTATCCGTTATTGCGTCCACTTTGTCACCTGTCAACTTGTAAGAGCCTATTAAACGCAAATCCATTACTTTTGGAGAGTAACGTTATTTAGTACAAAAACAGTTACAGGTCCAGGTTATGTTTTGTTTCGAAAAGGATGCCCTAAACAAAAGACTAACTTTTGCAATGCAGGGTGTTATGTTTTCGTGTGTGCAAGGCACAGAAGGTGGCCTATGGTCAAAGGGACATAATTCCGTTGTAGTCACGTAAAAGTTACTCCCCTTTGATTGACCGAAATCGACTTCCTCAAAGGAGAGTGCCACCACAACACAACATGTGCTTGTGCAATGTGTGAAATAATTGATTGACATCTGAACGTAACGGTCAACCAACATATGGGTAAAAATGTCATCGACAATAAAGTGTCATTACGAGGTCCTAAGTGTTCCGCGAGATGCAAATAACGACGATCTGAAGAAGGCGTACAGGAAATTAGCCTTGAAATACCATCCAGGTTGGTCAAGTTCTGACTGTTTTGTTGATATGTTGCCCTCACGGGCCTTATTTGAAATTTTATTTGTCTTTATCATGACACGGTATTATGTTCGTGTTACGTATCTATTGTCTGATCACATTGTCTCCTGAAACGAATTAACGATTGACACAAACGTCAACAGCTTCGTAATTCAGTATATGATTAACGACTGAAGATTAAAATGGCATTTTGGGGCTTCACATACCAAATTTGAAACACATTGTATAGTATCTTTTTCAAGGGCTATTATGTACTTCAGACTCATTTGTACATCAGATAACCATATGGTAACTACATTTGAAAAGCACCTATTGTAATATAAGTTAGGAGACTGATGAGGTTTGAATAGATATTGAGTTTGAAGAGTGACATCTTGACTGAACAATACTCTTCATCTCTGATGACTTAAAAGTTAAACCTGGCAAAAATTCTTCCCAGGCTTGTAATGATTGATTGATTACACATCTTGATTGTTGTGATGCAATTTTCATTGCTGTGTTGGAAATTAGGGGGGTCCTTGGCTCCTTAACGTTTCCTGTTATCATGGTTATAGTTCATGTATAGCTTACAGACGAGGCAATGGAGCTCATACCTTTTATCAAGGGCCTTTTTCCAGGTTATCGCTAAAACTGCACCTCAAACTACTATTGTGATGTGAAAACACGGCCTTATTAATATTATGACTTTTTGTATAACAAGCAATAATTGAAATTAAACTCATATGTTCACATTGTTTGATAGACATTTTTAGATGTTGACAAAGTAGACAAAAGTTTATGGAAGTTTATGGAACTTCTTTATTATACTGTAATTGTGATGATTTGGTATAGATTCTGATACTGTTTGTTGTGTTTTCAATAGTATTGATGCTATGTCATAAGTCAATGTGCGATCCCGTAATATGTCATCATTACTACTGTAAGAACATGTCATTCACAAAACATGTGGCCGCCATGTTGTAAGGCCAAAGCAGTGTACCAAAAGAACACAGAATAGACCGAGTGTTATATATCAACATTACAAAGCAAAACTGTAAACACTGTGAGGAGTGTGTGATGATGACCACATGTTTGTGTTTCAGACAAGAACCCCGACACTGTGAGGAGTCTGTGATGATGACCACATGTTTGTGTTTCAGACAAGAACCCCGACACTGTGAGGAGTCTGTGATGATGACCACATGTTTGTGTTTCAGACAAGAACCCCGACACTGTGAGGAGTGTGTGATGATGACCACATGTTTGTGTTTCAGACAAGAACTCTGACACTGTGAGGAGTCTGTGATGACCACATGTTTGTGTTTCAGACAAGAACCCTGACACTGTGATGAGTCTGTGATGATGACCACATGTTTGTGTTTCAGACAAGAACCCTGACACTGTGAGGAGTCTGTGATGATGACCACATGTTTGTGTTTCAGACAAGAACCCTGACACTGTGAGGAGTGTGTGATGATGACAACATGTTTGTGTTTCAGACAAGAACCCCGACACTGTGAGGAGTGTGTGATGATGACAACATGTTTGTGTTTCAGACAAGAACCCCGACACTGTGAGGAGTGTGTGTTGATGACCACATGTTTGTGTTTCAGACAAGAACCCGGACACTGTGAGGAGTCTGTGATGATGACCACATGTTTGTGTTTCAGACAAGAACCCCGACACTGTGATGAGTCTGTGATGATGACCACATGTTTGTGTTTCAGACAAGAACCCTGACACTGTGAGGAGTGTGTGATGATGACCACATGTTTGTGTTTCAGACAAGAACCCTGACACTGTGAGGAGTGTGTGATGATGACCACATGTTTGTGTTTCAGACAAGAACCCTGACACTGTGAGGAGTGTGCGATGATGACCACATGTTTGTGTTTCAGACAAGAACCCTGACACTGTGAGGAGTGTGCGATGATGACCACATGCTTGTGTTTCAGACAAGAACCCTGACACTGTGAGGAGTCTGTGATGATGACAACATGTTTGTGTTTCAGACAAGAACTCTGACACTGTGAGGAGTCTGTGTTGATGACCACATGTTTGTGTTTCAGACAAGAACCCCGACACTGTGAGGAGTGTGTGATGATGACCACATGTTTGTGTTTCAGACAAGAACCCTGACACTGTGAGGAGTGTGTGATGATGACCACATGTTTGTGTTTCAGACAAGAACCCTGACACTGTGAGGAGTGTGCGATGATGACCACATGTTTGTGTTTCAGACAAGAACCCTGACACTGTGATGAGTCTGTGATGATGACAACATGTTTGTGTTTCAGACAAGAACCCTGACACTGTGAGGAGTCTGTGTTGATGACCACATGTTTGTGTTTCAGACAAGAACCCCGACACTGTGAGGAGTGTGTGATGATGACCACATGTTTGTGTTTCAGACAAGAACCCTGACACTGTGAGGAGTGTGTGATGATGACCACATGTTTGTGTTTCAGACAAGAACCCTGACACTGTGAGGAGTGTGCGATGATGACCACATGTTTGTGTTTCAGACAAGAACCCTGACACTGTGATGAGTCTGTGATGATGACAACATGTTTGTGTTTCAGACAAGAACCCTGACACTGTGAGGAGTCTGTGTTGATGACCACATGTTTGTGTTTCAGACAAGAACCCCGACACTGTGAGGAGTGTGTGATGATGACCACATGTTTGTGTTTCAGACAAGAACCCTGACACTGTGAGGAGTGTGTGATGATGACCACATGTTTGTGTTTCAGACAAGAACCCTGACACTGTGAGGAGTGTGCGATGATGACCACATGTTTGTGTTTCAGACAAGAACCCTGACACTGTGATGAGTCTGTGATGATGACAACATGTTTGTGTTTCAGACAAGAACCCCGACACTGTGAGGAGTGTGTGATGATGACCACATGTTTGTGTTTCAGACAAGAACCCCGACACTGTGAGGAGTGTGTGATGATGACCACATGTTTGTGTTTCAGACAAGAACCCTGACACTGTGAGGAGTGTGTGATGATGACCACATGTTTGTGTTTCAGACAAGAACCCTGACAACGTGGAGGAAGCTACCAGGGAGTTTCGACTGGTGCAGCAGGCCTACGAGGTTCTCAGTGACCCCCAGGAGCGGGCGTGGTACGACAAGCACAGGGAGGCCATCCTGAGGGGAGGTGAGGCACATACACCTGCTGTTATTAACTTGGGAATGTCCTCACATACTGTAAAACGTGAAATTAGCCAGCGCACAAGTATATTTTGTTTAGATATAAATCCACTGATGCTTGAGAGGAGGGGCTGTCGCATTCATATTGAGTCGCATTTTTGGCTAGGGGCCAGCGTTCCCATTCTTTTGGAGATGCATTAATTTCACGTTTTACAGTAATTAATCAAGTTCATGGTTTATTCTCCCTGCAGCGTTTTGTTGTACAATAAACAATGACCACAAATTGTTTATTTCTTATATGAGATATCAACTTTATGTACAGTCTCTTTAAGGATGTTGATAAAATGTGCAAGCTTTAAAAATAGTTACCTTCATTTTATTAATGATGACTTCCTGAATAGAATCTGTCCGAAAAGACGATTTTATGAACAGGTGGTATAAGTTTGGCATTTCCTGCATATTCTCACAATCCTCACATCAATTATCTGTACCTTTATTACTAATACCGATTGTCATATCTCTCCCACTTTTGGATGTGACCTTTCGGCCATTCCGTTTGTCTGTGTCACCTAGCTACATCTGTGGGGAACAACTCACTAGACAGTTCCCTCTAAAAAATTATGTCATCCCACATACATCATCAAGTTGCAAGCACATTTTAAAATCTCCAGAACTGATGTCATGATAAAACAATGTTTTATCCTGAAATAAACCACACTTCGTTCTGCATTGCTCTTTGCAATTTATCGCAGCTATCTTATATTGTCATATAAATACAACCATGCTTTGATAAAAATTACTAGAAGATATGCCTTTTACATGCTGTTGACTTTCACCCCAGGAATTGTTTAATTGATTTAATAATATACACTTAAGTATTTGAATATTATGAAAATATTTTACCCACAGGTCCAGTTTGAATCTGTTAGCAGTGATTTTGAGTTCTTTTACAATTTGGATTGCATGGGGAAGTTTTATGTTTTAGGTATTGTTATCTATTGTGGTCACAAAAAAAGACCATCCTGATTTGTAGATCAATTATATGGCTAAAAAAATAATTTTCAATAAATTACCCAGAAGGCGAGGGTTTCCAGATATCTGAATTCTGGATAATCAGTCTTAGTGTATCTCAAATGTGTATTGTGACGGAGCACTTGGATGTCCATCTTGTGTATATATGATACTTTTGAACAAGTGTGATGTGGGGCTGCAGGCTTAGGGCGAGGTGACAAGTACGAGGACAACTCCCTGGATGTGTTTCAGTACTTCAACTCAGCCTGCTACAAAGGATTCGGAGATGATGCTGAGGTAACTATTATACACTTGATGAAGATGTTAGGCCACACTTATTTCAAGAGAGACAATAGCCATTCTATTACTGACTTTATTCATTGTATTAGTGAATGCGTGAATGGTTTGATACTGTATTCGACGTAAGCGTCCCGCTCTAATAAGCGCCCACGGCGATATTTGTTAATTAGCACCCCTTTTGATTGATAAATGTACACTTATTTAATCATGTATAATATGCACTCGTGTGTTATATGCACCCTTAATTATGGGCAATTAAATTCTGGAAAATATATCTGTAGTGATAATACCCACAGACTTTTCTTTTGTATCATTTCAGACTGTTAGCATAAACCACAAAATTTACGATCTTTCAACTCTGTCTTCTTTCTCACCAAAATTATATTCTAATAAGAACTCCCTATTTCTAAATTTGAGAGCACCTTGGGCGCATATTACGTTGAATACGGTAAGTGCATTGACATATATAGTGGTGGGATGATACACTGGTGCATCGTGATTTTGCACTTCTCGATATAAGTATCGATTACAGTCACGAAGTAAAAAATATTGATGCTTACCTTAAATGTTTTCTTCAGTAACTGTAAACAAAACAAAGACTAATGAGAAATGCAAATGTAAATATTTTCATCTATTAGGCTTAACTGACACTGGCACACTCTCGACTGCAAATATTATCAATGCAGTTGGTAAAGAGCTCCCACCTTTCTAGTGCTTCAGCAAAGCCAAACAATTCGATTGCTAAGTATCCAATCACCGTTTAGTTTGTCTGCTTGTACTACTATGGCAAGATGGTTGGACTTAAAAGCTCAGCTAACTGTAAATCGTCAGTGTGGCAGGTATTTGGCCATCCTGTTTACGACAAAGATGGCGTGTGCACAACATATAAGAGCATATGCAAATATCGTGATACTATTGGATTGTAAGCAAGGTATTGTGATACATATTGGATCGCACAGTAGCTGTATTGTCCAAGCCCTGGACATTAAGGCACAACAGAATAAGAACACATTGTTGATGGAAAAGGACGAGGGATGTGACTCAGTGAATTCAGAACCCTAGCAAATTTGATTCAAGACACACAAAACCTGCCTTTTCACCATAAACATGCCCCTGTTCCTATACTTGTCACTATACTTGTCACTGTACTTGTCACTATACTTGTCACTGTACTTGTCACTATACTTGTCACTGTACTTGTCACTATACTTGTCACTGTACTGGTCACTGTACTGGTCACTGTACTTGTCACTGTACTTGTCACTGTACTTGTCACTGTACTTGTCACTATACTTGTCACTGTACTGGTCACTATACTTGTCACTGTACTGGTCACTATACTTGTCACTGTACTTGTCACTGTACTGGTCACTGTACTTGTCACTGTACTTGTCACTATACTTGTCACTGTACTGGTCACTGTACTTGTCACTGTACTTGTCACTGTACTGGTCACTGTACTGGTCACTGTACTTGTCACTGTACTTGTCACTGTATTTGACCCGCTACCTGTCACTGTACTCGTCCTTGCCGTAAATAGTGACCATGCTTGCCATAAATGATGTCCATGCTTGCTGTAAATAGTGACCATGCTTGCTTTAAGAAGTGACTATGCTTTTCGTAAGAGGCAACTAACAGAATTGGGTGGTCAGGCAAGCTGACTTGGTTGATGCATGTCATCGTATCCCAATTGTGTAGATCGATGCTCATGGTGTCAATGACTGGATTGTCTGGTCCAGACTCATTATTTCAGACTGCCGTCATATGGCTGGAATATTGCTGAGTGCAGCATTAAATAACAAAACATAAACAAACTCATCCCTACACCTGCCACTATACTCATCCCTACACCTGCCACTATACTCCTCCCTCCACCTGCCACTATACTCCTCCCTACACCTGCCACTATACTCATCCCTACACCTGCCACTATACTCCTCCCTACACCTGCCACTATACTCATCCCTACACCTGCCACTACACTCATCCCTACACCTGCCACTACACTCAACCCTACACCTGCCACTATACTCAATGCTACACCTGCCACTACACCCATCCCTACACCTGCCACTATACTCATCCCTACACATGTCACTATACTCAACACTACACCTGCCACTATACTCATCCCTACACCTGCCACTATACTCAACACTACTCCTGCCACTATACTCAACACTACACCTGCCACTATACTCATCCCTACACCTGCCACTACACTCATCCCTACACCTGCCACTACACTCATCCCTACACCTGCCTGTATACTCATCCCTACACCTGCCACTACACTCATCCCTACACCTGCCACTATACTCCTCCCTACACCTGCCACTACACTCATCCCTCCACCTGCCACTATACTCATCCCTACACCTGCCACTACACTCATCCCTACACCTGCCACTACACTCATCCCTACACCTGCCACTACACTCATCCCTCCACCTGTCACTATACTCATCCCTACAGCTGCCACTATACTCATCCCTACACCTGCCACTATACTCAACACTACACCTGCCACTATACTCATCCCTACACCTGCCACTACACTCATCCCTACACCTGCCTGTATACTCATCCCTACACCTGCCACTATACTCCTCCCTACACCTGCCACTACACTCATCCCTACACCTGCCACTATACTCAACCCTACACCTGCCACTATACTCAACCCTACACCTACCACTATACTCAACCCTACACCTGCCACTATACTCCTCCTTACACCTGCCACTATACTCAACCCTACACCTGCCACTATACTCAACCCTACACCTGCCACTATACTCAACCCTACACCTGCCACTATACTCCTCCCTACACCTGCCACTATACTCCTCCCTACACCTGCCACTATACTCCTCCCTACACCTGCCACTATACTCATCCCTACACCTGCCACTATACTCATCCCTACACCATCCACTATACTCCTCCCTACACCTGCCACTATACTCCTCCCTACACCTGCCACTACACTCATCCCTACACCTGCCTGTATACTCATCCCTACACCTGCCACTACACTCATCCCTACACCTGCCTGTATACTCATCCCTACACCTGCCACTACACTCATCCCTACACCTGCCTGTATACTCATCCCTACACCTGCCACTATACTCATCCCTACACCTGCCTCTATACTCATCCCTACACCTGCCACTATACTCATCCCTACACCTGCCACTATACTCATCCCTACACCTGCCTGTATACTCATCCCTACACCTGCCACTATACTCATCCCTACACCTGCCACTATACTCATCCCTACACCTGCCACTACACTCATCCCTACACCTGCCTGTATACTCATCCCTACACCTGCCACTATACTCCTCCCTACACCTGCCACTATACTCATCCCTACACCTGCCACTATACTCATCCCTACACCTGCCACTACACTCATCCCTACACCTGCCACTACACTCAATGTTATACCTGCCATTATACCCAATGCTATACCTGCCACTACACTCATCCCTACACCTGCCACTACACTCAATGTTATACCTGCCATTATACCCAATGCTACACCTGCCACTATACTCATCCCTACACCTGCCACAACACTCAATGTTATACCTGCCACTATACCCAATGCTACACCTGCCACTATACTCAATGCTACACCTGCCACTACACTCACCCCTACACTTGCCACTATACTCATCCCTACACCTGCCTGTATACTCATCCTTACACCTGTCTCTACACTCATCCCTACTCCTGCCACTACACTCAACACTACACCTGCCACTACACTCAACCCTACACCTGCCACTATACTCAATGCTACACCTGCCACTACACTCAACACTACACCTGCCACTACACTCATCCATACACCTGCCACTACACTCATCCCTACACCTGCCACTATACTCCTCCCTACACCTGCCACTACACTCATCCCTCCACCTGCCACTATACTCATCCCTACACCTGCCACTACACTCATCCCTACACCTGCCACTACACTCATCCCTACACCTGCCACTACACTCATCCCTCCACCTGCCACTATACTCATCCCTACAGCTGCCACTATACTCATCCCTACACCTGCCACTATACTCAACACTACACCTGCAACTATACTCATCCCTACACCTGCCACTACACTCATCCCTACACCTGCCTGTATACTCATCCCTACACCTGCCACTATACTCCTCCCTACACCTGCCACTACACTCATCCCTACACCTGCCACTATACTCATCCCTACACCTGCCACTATACTCATCCCTACACCTGCCACTACACTCATCCCTACACCTGCCACTACACTCATCCCTACACCTGCCACTACACTCATCCCTACACCTGCCACTACACTCATCCCTACACCTGCCACTATACTCCTCCCTACACCTGCCACTACACTCATCCCTACACCTGCCACTATACTCATCCCTACACCTGCCACTATACTCCTCCCTACACCTGCCACTACACTCATCCCTACACCTGCCACTACACTCATCCCTACACCTGCCACTACACTCAATGCTACACCTGCCACTATACTCATCCCTACACCTGCCACTACACTCATCCCTACACCTGCCACTATACTCCTCCCTACACCTGCCACTATACTCATCCCTACACCTGCCACTACACTCATCCCTACACCTGCCACTATACTCAATGCTACACCTGCCACTATACTCCTCCCTACACCTGCCAATACACTCATCCCTACACCTGCCTGTATACTCATCCCTACACTTGCCACTACACTCCTCCCTACACCTGCCACTATACTCATCCCTACACCTGCCACTATACTCATCCCTACACCTGCCACTACACTCATCCCTACACCTGCCACTATACTCATCCCTACACCTGCCACTACACTCATCCCTACACCTGCCTGTATACTCATCCCTACACCTGCCACTACACTCATCCCTACACCTGCCTGTATACTCATCCCTACACCTGCCACTACACTCATCCCTACACCTGCCAGTATACTCATCGCTACACCTGCCACTACACTCATCCCTACACCTGCCTGTATACTCATCCCTACACCTGCCACTATACCCATCCCTACACCTGCCACCATACTCAACCCTACACCTGCCACTATACTCAACCCTACACATGTCACTATACTCCTCCCTACACCTGCCACTACACTCATCGCTACACCTGCCACTATACTCATCCCTACATATGTCACTATACTCCTCCCTACACCTGTCACTATACTCAACCCTACACCTGCCACTATACTCAACCCTACACCTGCCACTATACTCAACCCTACACCTGCCACTATACTCAACCCTACACCTGCCACTATACTCAACCCTACACCTGCCACTATACTCCTCCCTACACCTGCCACTATACTCCTCCCTACACCTGCCACTATACTCAACCCTACACCTGTCACTATACTCAACCCTACACCTGCCACTATACTCAACCCTACACCTGCCACTATACTCCTCCCTACACCTGCCACTATACTCAACCCTACACCTGCCACTATACTCCTCCCTACACCTGCCACTATACTCAACCCTACACCTGCCACTATACTCAACCCTACACCTGCCACTATACTCAACCCTACACCTGCCACTATACTCCTCCCTACACCTGCAACTATACTCATCCCTACACCTGCCACTATACTCATCCCTACACCTTCCACTATACTCATCCCTACACCTGCCACTATACTCATCCCTACACCTGCCACTATACTCATCCCTACACCTGCCTCTATACTCATCCCTACACCTGCCTGTATACTCATCCCTACACCTGTCACTACACTCATCCCTACACCTGCCACTATACTCATCCCTACACCTGTCACTACACTCATCCCTACACCTGTCACTACACTCATCCCTACACCTGCCACTATACTCATCCCTACACCTGCCACTATACTCAATGCTACACCTGCCACTATACTCATCCCTACACCTTCCACTATACTCATCCCTACACCTGCCTGTATACTCATCCCTACACCTTCCACTATACTCATCCCTACACCTGCCACTATACTCATCCCTACACCTGCCACTACACTCATCCCTACACCTGCCACTACACTCATCCCTACATCTGCCTGTATACTCATCCCTACACCTGCCACTACACTCATCCCTACACCTGCCTGTATACTCATCCCTACACCTGCCACTACACTCATCCCTACACCTGCCACTATACTCATCCCTACACCTGCCACTATACTCAATGCTTCACCAGCCACTATACTCATCCCTACACCTGCCACTATACTCATCCCTACACCTGCCACTATACTCAACACTACACCTGCCACTATACTCAATGCTACACCTGCCACTATACTCAATGCTACACCTGCCACTATACTCATCCCTACACCTGCCACTATACTCATCCCTCCACCTGCCACTATACTCATCCCTACACCTGCCACTATACTCCTCCCTACACCTGCCACTACACTCATCCCTACACCTGCCTCTATACTCATCCCTACACCTGCCACTACACTCATCCGTACACCTGCCACTACACTCAATGTTATACCTGCCATTATACCCAATGCTATACCTGCCACTACACTCATCCCTACACCTGCCACTACACTCAATGTTATACCTGCCATTATACCCAATGCTACACCTGCCACTATACTCATCCCTACACCTGCCACAACACTCAATGTTATACCTGCCACTATACCCAATGCTACACCTGCCACTATACTCAATGCTACACCTGCCACTACACTCACCCCTACACTTGCCACTATACTCATCCCTACACCTGCCTGTATACTCATCCTTACACCTGTCTCTACACTCATCCCTACTCCTGCCACTACACTCAACACTACACCTGCCACTACACTCATCCCTACACCTGCCACTATACTCAATGCTACACCTGCCACTACACTCAACACTACACCTGCCACTACACTCATCCATACACCTGCCACTACACCCAACACTACTCCTGCCACTACACTCATCCCTACACCTGCCACTACACTCATCCCTACACCTGCCACTATACTCATCCCTACACCTGCCACTACACTCATCCCTACACCTGCCACTATACTCATCCCTACACCTGCCACTACACTCATCCCTACACCTGCCACTATACTCATCCCTCCACCTGCCACTATACTCATCCCTACACCTGCCACTATACTCATCCCTACACCTGCCACTATACTCATCCCTACACCTGCAACTATACTCATCCCTACACCTGCCACTACACTCATCCCTACACCTGCCACTATACTCATCCCTACACCTGCCACTATACTCATCCCTACACCTGCAACTATACTCATACCTACACCTGCCACTACACTCATCCCTACACCTGCCACTATACTCATCCCTACACCTGCCTCTACACTCAACACTACACCTGCCACTACACTCATCCCTACACCTGCCACTACACTCAACACTACACCTGCCACTACACTCATCCCTACACCTGCCACTACACTCAACACTACTCCTGCCACTCTATTCCTGTGCAGGGCTTCTATGCGGTGTACAGCAAGGTGTTCCACACTCTGGCGGAGGAGGATTACCCCTTCATGGAGGACAAGGACAGCGACTACGAGATTCCAGAGTTCGGCAACTCAGAAAGTTCCTATGAAGAGGTATGTGGGGAGACAACTCTCTGATCACTCATCTGTACAAACAGTGTATTAGACACTGCAATATTTTCTTTATTTCCACAACAACATTAAAAGTAAAGTTTGTTGGAAACAGTAATTCAGGTTAACACTCCTTGTGGAAATTGCGTGTAGAGTAACCTCCCTTTGACCACTTGCTCCCTCTTCATTGAGCATGAGTACTCAGACACTCCAAACAGCCATGCAAACTTCTCAGGTATTGTAGAGTAGGTACAACAATTCTCAAGGAGTTTATGGTGTGATGCACCCTGTGTGTGAGCCAGTGTACTCCGAGCTGTACACAGACACACCCACAGGGTAGATCACATCATATGCCCTGAGCTATAGGTTGCCGAACTAATTCATTCATTCATACAGGCCCGGAATATATGTCCACAGTTTCACTGAGTTAGCAAAACTTGTAGCAGTCGACACAAATGAACCAAGTTACTTCCCTTTACCCAATGCATTCGGATAAACATCGGTTCATTTCAACTCGACAATACTTATTACATGGGAAAATAACTGCCTGCTTCTTAACTAATAAGAAGCTAGTATTTTAGCGAAAGGTGAGATAATATGGTGTGTAGGTTTATTTGTAATCATAGGATTTTACCAGATTGTTAACATTTTAAATAATTTCTATGTTGTAATGTATGTTATCCCTTTCAAATGAATGTTCTCAGGTCGTTCAGCCATTCTATGATTACTGGACGTCGTACTGTACGGCCAAGTCCTACGTGTGGGAGGAGAAGTATGATACTCGCGAGGCGCCTGACAGGTGGACTCGACGCAAGATGGAAGGAGAGAATAAGAAACAGAGGGATGCTGCCAAGAAGGAAAGGAATGAAGAAATCAGGGTTAGAAATGAGCATGTCTTTAAATCACCTTGACCTACTGGTGCTGAACATGTGGATGTAAGGAAGAGGGAAACAGGGGGTTGGAACTAGTATGTAACGAAATAAACAGTTGTGTACCATCAACCTGGGTAAGGGCCTCCCCACATATATGAACTCATTGATGAGTAAAATACTGGAATACAGTGTTTGACTACCATTGGATTTGGAATACCTGTATTTAAGTATATTTTTGGTGTGTTTTTTTTAAAATGGAAATAAAAACGAAATGTGCGGCGAACTTTATGATGATGCGGGCAGTGCCTGAGAACCAAGACTAATATTTTTTGTAGCCTAAAGCTGCCTTTTCAAGAGTAAGACTTGGCTATCTGTTGTCCCTTGTGAAGAAAAGATAAGTGAATGAATGAGGGAGAATAGTTTTCTTCTTGTTTGTTTGTTTGTTTGTTGTTTAACATCGCATTCAGCAATATTCCAAATATGACAGCAGTCTGGACCAGACAATCCAATGATTGACATCCTCAGCTTCAATCTCCGCAATTGGGCTACGATGACATTAATCAAACAAATCAGCAAGCCTGACCACCTGATCGCGTTAGTCACCTCTTAGGACAAGCATGGGTTGTTGAAGACCTATTCTACCCCGGATCTTCACAGGGAGAATGTCTCTCTTGTATCAATTATGGGCAGCCTATTGGTTACTGTGTTACTTTGTAACATGCTCAGGTTCAATTCCCCACATGCCATTGGTATTGTTATAGAATCATTAAGAAGCATTAAGCATTCAATCTAGCACATATATCATGGACTACCATAACCCACTGGAAGGTTGGTTTGATCCCCGGCTGTGTTATACCAAAAGATGCAAAAAGATGGTACTTGTTGTTTCCCTGCCTGGCACTCAGCTTCAAAGGGATAAAACAAGGACCGGTCAGCCCAGAGTCAGTATTATGTGTCTGAGTGGGGTATCCATGTTAAACTGTGGTGCTCATACTGTCGACCACAAGTTTGTCTGACCCAGGCTTGATGATTTACAGGCTGCAGTCATATAATGATCAAAAGAAGTTAGGGATCAGGAATATTTTGGGGGATATCTTTTTGTAGTGCACACAATTTAATGGAAAAAAACCCCAAATATTCATGATGCTTAACTTTTTTTATTCAGCATAATTTGAATAATGCTATCTTTGGTGTTCACATTCATTCTCTTGTGTTTGAAGATTTGCTTTTTTGTTTCAGGCTCTTGTGGCATATGTTCGGAAGAGAGACAAGCGTGTTCAAGCCCACAGGGTGAGCTGGAGTGTAGTACACAGGGAGAAAACAATCTCATTAAAATCAGGTCATAGTGTTCGCTACCTCTACACAAACCTTTTTGTAGCAGTAGAGGGGCGGTGGGGTAGCCTAATGGTTAAAGTGTTCGCTCGTCACGCCGAAGACCCGGGTTCCATTCCCGAAATGGGTACAATGTGTGAAGCCCATTTCTGGTGTCACCCGCCGTGATATTGCTGGAATATTGCTAAAAGCGGCATAAAACCGTACTCACTCCCTCACTTGTATCAGTAGCGAGCATTGAAAATTGATTTTAATGAGATTGAGAGAAAACTGATTTTTTTAAACTTATCCTATCTCACACTATGTTTTTCGCTTTCTTCTTCGATCCTAAGTGGAAAATGTGCCTAAACAAAGGTTCCAGATTCTAGAAAGTAATTCACCTGAACACACCTAGCATTACCATGGTCACCTCCCAACTCTCGGGGTCATGTACACCGTATGCTGGTTGACACACATGCTGAACACGTGATTTCCCCAGCCACCTCATTCTGTTTCTAATCGCCACAGTGGGGCACGGGTGGCCCAGTCGTCTAAGGCGCCGTGATTTGCTGTGCAGAGTTGCGTCCTTTGGGCATGCCAGAAACCTATGATTGTGGGTTCGAATCCTGGTTCGCCTGATTATGTTTCTAGGTTTGTCAGCACCATACCCGTGCTCGTAGGTTTCACCGAAGTGGTAAACGTCTGAGACCTGCATCACTTCGGGCTTTCCTTCCACATTAAGCTGACACACCGTGATATAACTGGAATACTGTTAAAAGCGGCGTTAAACCCAACTCGATCACTCACTCTAATGCCCTCACTGTGGTGACGTGCTTATAGATAGAGATTTTTTTATTTTTCTTGCTTTGCTGTAGAGGTAGCAAACATTGAGATCTGATTGTAATGACATTGGGAAAAACTGGAGACTTTTCTGCCATGCTTGTTTGTGATGCCTCTCTTCAACAAGAAGGCTGAAACCTAAGTAGAAGTCCCATGAGTTGCTTGTAAGAATTTCATCACGTGCAGGCATTTATCAATCAAGGAATAAAAAGCTTCTTGCCTTCAATTTTATTACAATGTGGTTATGCTGGAGATCGGTTCATTCGACACCAGAATACCAACATGGTGATAAGCAGTGTTACAATTTGGCACTAGTCCTGTAGTCCTTACCAAACTGCCCAATAGTAAAGGTATCCTAAGGACTAGTAGAAATTCGCCATTTTTAAAGGTTCTGCTATATGTTATCATTATAAGGACTAGTGGACTGAAACTGTTAGTTTCTACCGCTGGATAAGTGATATGTGCATTACATTGAACACTTAATACTTATCCAATGGGAAAACAAGACATCCTTGTCAATAAAATGTTTCCAAAATTTGGATATAACTGGAATAGTGTTAACTCGTTTTGAAGCAGCATGAATATGTTTGTTGTAGTTATTTTCACTTAGCAAGCTTAGAAAAGACAAACATAGATATTACAATCATGATAAGTTTGAGAATTTATGGATGTCAACTTATTTGTTATGAGGAACACAAACGTTTCGGAGTATGCTTACTCCTTCATCTGGTGAATTAATGCTAGGATGCAGAGGGCATATATTTGTACATGTAAATGTTGTAAAATTGTACATCAAAGTAAATTCTCTCTTTTATGTGTGTCACTTCTGAATGACGTGATGCACACATGATGTTTACATTAATAATGTTAGTGTGTAAACTGAAATGAATACTCCATGTGACATTTGGGTGATGCTGCTGCAGAAACGGCTGGAGGAGAGGGCGGCAGAAATAGCTCGGAAAACCAAGGAACAGCAGGAAAAGGAGCTGCTGGAAAGAAAGAAGTATGTCCTCTTTCATGATGAATTGCCTTGTTTCTGGGCCCCTGTTGGGACTGACCCGTGAAGATTCCGGGGTAGAATAGGTCTTCAGCAACCCATTGTTGTCGTAAAAGGCGACTAACGGGATCCGGTGGTCAGGCTCGCTGACTTGGTTGATGCATGTCATCGATCCCAATTGCGTAGATTGATGCTCATGATGTCAATCACTGGATTGTCTGGTGTAGACTCGATTATTTACAGACCACCATCATATAGCTGGAATATTGCTGAGTGCGGCGTTAAACAACAAACCAACCCTGTGGGGACTCTGGGTTCGACTTGGTCCCCAGCAACCGATGCTGGTTGTAAGAAGCAATTACCGTCAAATGCATCCCAATGGTGTGCATCATTGCTCACAATATCAATCACAAGATTGTCTGGTCCAGACTCAATTATTCTAAGACCGCCATCATATAGCTTGAATATTGCTGAGTGCGGCGTTAGACAAAAAACAGACAAACTTCCCCACCAGACGCCCCACACTGACATGCTAAAATACTTTTCAAAGCGTCATGAAACCCAAATCATCCCAACATTGAAGCCAACCCACATCAAATTATGTCTGTTTGATGTCAGGCGGATGGAGAACTACAAGGAAACGGGGTGGTCAGCCATGTCGGCCCTGGAGGACGATCTCCGTCAGCTGGAGGCCAGCGTAGACGAGCACTTCGGCGGGGAGCGAGACGACGATGGAGGAGGGGAAGGTTAGTGCTGGTCAGCTTCATACTCGTGTCACTTGAGTCATTGCTCCATATCTATCCTTTACTGGATTTAGAATGTACATTCTTTCTTGAAAACTTACTGCCATACTTGGATATATATTTTTGGTCATTGTGAAAATGTAATAGCTTTGCTGAGTCAACTTTCAATATCACCTGTGAAATTACATCTTTTCGCCCAAAATAGCCCCCTTTGCCCATGGTTATGTTTTGGCAATAATATATTTTCCAAGTTGTACTGGGGGCAGTCGGGTAGCCTAGTGGTTAAAGCGTTCGCTCATCACTCCGAAGACCCGGGTTCAATTCCCGACATGGGTACAATGTGTGAAACCCATTTCTGGTGTCCCCCGCCGTGATATTGCTGGAATATTGCTAAAAGCGGCGTAAAACCATACTCACTCACTCACTCACTCCAACTTGTACTGTGTTGAATTGTTGGCAAGTACCCATACATGCCTAGGTGTGCCAGATCACACCCCAATCCTGCCTATTGGCCTTCTTTTTTTGTGATGCGTGTATACATCGTAGAGACATCCCAACTGTATATAATTTGTCGGTATTGTGGTGATGTTGCTACAGGTGTCCCTGGTGAGGGTGATGATGTTCCCATGGAGGAAGAGGAAGAAGAGGATTACTATGACGACCTGTTCTGTATTGCCTGCAATAAGGCTTTCAAAAGTGACAAGGCGTAAGTCAGCCATGTTCATAACTGGAAACCAGGAAAGAAGTATTCATCCCTGATTACCCAGTGTATAATGTCTCCAGTCAAGTGTGATAAACACCCTGCACTAATTTGCTACCTAATCTTCACTGTGAACCGTATTTGAAAGACCCAAAGCTAAAAATACCTGTCCATTCAGATTACACTCGTGAGCAGGAAAAGGTGGCAGGTTAGTGACAAGAGAGTGTTATCATGAAGCTAGCTGATGAATAGTGCCTGGGTATTTATCAAAATATATAATGGATATTATTGAGTGTCCATGTCATACTATGTTCATGACGTGATTGTTGTTAACATAGAATGACATGAACACGAATATAATGTTCTATTTATTACCAAAGAAGATGTCTACCTAAAGAGACAAATTTTAGTGTTTACTTATGAGGACAGCAAGTTGCAACAGCAGTGGAACCACAATTTGTCGAATGACTTCAACAATCTTCAGCAAAGATATCGTCTCTAGTGTGATACATTCCGACCTCACGTCACAATAAGATTCCAATGACGTCAACAATGTCATCTGGATGACAGAAACAATACCCTGTGTCTCGTGAAGGAATATGACCCTAGGGCTCATATGATTTTTATTAACCCTGATATATTTGCCCTTATAGGTAATAAACAAGCATAATACACTAGGTAATTGAGGATGAGAAAGGTTAGATAATGTAAACATTTGAATAACCGACATGGTGGTACTGCCATTTTGGGACCCTTTCTTTAGGGAGGTAGATACTCATGTTGGCTGAGACAAGTGTAGCAGAAGATCTCATTGTTCCAGTGTTTTTTCTAGTTGATGTAAAGGTGGGGCCATGTTTCATTCAGTTCATTGATCTGATAACTCTTTTTAATTTGAAACTAAACACATTGCATCTGAACTGTTGACGTATCACCTTAACAACTGACTATTTGGAAGTACGAACTGGTCGTGAGAGTTGTCTTACTGTCTGATCTAGGTATGCAAATCATGAAAAGTCCAAGAAACACAAGGACCTTGTAGCCATATTGAAAGCACACATTGAACAGGAAGAGGAAGTGCTGGGAGAGATGGCTGATGGAATACAACTAGCAGACGACATTGATCTGAATGACAGTAATGCTCAGGACAGTAAACAGAAGTGAGTAAAGGAGTTCATGCTCTGTAGTTTATATTGGGCCAGTTGGTGTCTGTGCTCTGGCCTGTTTTGTTCTATGGGGATATTGAAAGGAATTACAATCATCCATTCCGCAGTCCATTCTTTCCATCTGACACGAGGACAAGGGTGCCTTGTGGTCTGAAACTCCACTCCACTCCACCCCACCAACTCTGCCCCAACCAACCAACTCCGCTCTACCCCACCTAACTCTGCCCCACTCCACCCCACCAACTCCGCTCTACCCCACCTAACGCTGCCCCACTCCACCCCACCAACTCTGCTCTACCCCACCTAACTCTGCCCCACTCCACCCCACCAACTCCGCTCTACCCCACCTAACTCTGCCCCACTCCACCCCACCAACTCTGCTCTACCCCACCTAACTCTGCCCCACTCCACCCCACCAACTCTGCTCTACCCCACCTAACTCTGCCCCACTCCACCCCACCAACTCCGCTCTACCCCACCTAACTCTGCCCCACTCCACCCCACCAACTCTGCTCTACCCCACCTAACTCTGCCCCACTCCACCCCACCAACTCTGCTCTACCCCACCTAACTCTGCCCCACTCCACCCCACCAACTCCGCTCTGCCCCACCTAACTCTGCCCCACTCCATCCTTCCCAACTCCACTCTGCTCCACTCCACTCCGCTCCGCTCCACTCCGCTCCACTCCGCTCCACTCCGCTCCACTCCGCTCCACTCCACTCCACTCCACTCCACTCCACTCCACTCCACTCCACTCCACTCCACTCCACTCTTCCTATCTCCAGTCTGCTCTAGGGCGGTCGGGTAGCCTAGTGGTTAAAGCGTTAGCTCGTCACGCCGAAGACCCGGGTTCGATTCCCGACATGGGTACAATGTGTGAAGCCCATTTCTGGTGTCCCCCGCCATGATATTGCTGGAATATTAGCGGCATAAAACCATACTCACTCACTCACTCCAGTCTGCTCTACCCTACCAACTCTACTCCACTCCGCCCCACCCCACCCCACCCCTCCCATATCCAATCCTTTCCACCCCATCAACTCCACTCCACTCTGCCCCACCCAACTCCAATCCACTCCGCCCCGCCAACTCTGGTTCACCCCACCTAACTCTGCCCCACTCCACCCCACCAACTCCGCTCTACCCCACCTAACTCTGCCCCACTCCACCCCACCAACTCTGCTCTACCCCACCTAACTCTGCCCCACTCCACCCCACCAACTCTGCTCTACCCCACCTAACTCTGCCCCACTCCACCCCACCAACTCTGCCCTGCCCCACCTAACTCTACCCCACTCCATCCTTCCCAACTCCACTCTGCTCCACTCCACTCCGCTCCGCTCCACTCCACTCCACTCCACTCCACTCCACTCCACTCCACTCCACTCCACTCTTCCTATCTCCAGTCTGCTCTAGGGCGGTCGGGTAGCCTAGTGGTTAAAGCGTTAGCTCGTCACGCCGAAGACCCGGGTTCGATTCCCGACATGGGTACAATGTGTGAAGCCCATTTCTGGTGTCCCCCGCCATGATATTGCTGGAATATTAGCGGCGTAAAACCATACTCACTCACTCACTCCAGTCTGCTCTACCCTACCAACTCTACTCCACTCCACCCCACCCCACCCCTCCCATATCCAATCCTTTCCACCCCATCAACTCCACTCCACTCTGCCCCACCCAACTCCAATCCACTCCGCCCCGCCAACTCTGGCTCACCCAACCAACTCTGCTCCACTCCACTCCATTCCACGCTGTCCTGCCAACTCTAGTTCACCCCACCAACTCTGCTCCACTCCACTCCACCCCACCAACTCTGGCTCACCCCACCAACTCTGCTCCACTCCATTCCATGCCGCCCCGCCAACTCTGGTTCACCCCACCAACTGTGCTCCACTCCACTCCACTCCACTCCACTCCACTCCACTCCACTCCACTCCACTCCATCCCGCCAACTCCACCCAACTCTTCCTATCTCCAGTCCACTCTACCCCATCAACTTGACTCAACTCCACCCCGCCCAACCCAACCCAACCCACCCCACCAACTCTGCTCTACCCCACCTAACTCTGCCCCACTCCACCCCACCAACTCCGCTCTGCCCCACCTAACTCTGCCCCACTCCACCCCACCAACTCTGCTCTACCCCACCTAACTCTGCCCCACTCCACCCCACCAACTCCGCTCTGCCCCACCTAACTCTGCCCCACACCACCCCACCCCACCCCACCCTTCCAAATCCAGTCCTCTCCACCCCATAAACTCCACTCCACTCTGCCCCACCCAACTCCATTCCACACTGCCCCGCCAACTCTTGTTCACCCCACCAACTCTGCTCCACTCCACCCCGCCCTGCCAACTCTGGCTCACCCCACCAACTCTGCTCCACTCCACTCTGCCCCGCCAAATCAGGATCACCCCACCAACTCTGCTCCACTCCACTCCACTCCACTCCATTCCATGCTGCCCCGCCAACTCTGGTTCACCCCACCAACTCAGCTCCTCTCCACTCCACTCCACTCCGCCCCGCCAACTCTGGTTCACCCCACCAACTCAGCTCCTCTCCGCTCCACTCCACTCCGCCCCGCCAACTCTGGTTCACTCCACCAACTCTGCTCCACTCCACTCCACTCCACTCCACTCCGCCCCGCCAACTCTGGTTCACCCCACCAACTCTGCTCCTCTCCACTTCACTCCACTCCACTCCACTCCACTCCACTCCACTCCACTCCACTCCACTCCACTCCACTCCACTCCACTCCGCCCCGCCAACTCTGGTTCACCCCACCAACTCTGCTCCTCTCCACTCCACTCCACTCCACTCCACTCCACTCCACTCCACTCCACTCCACTCCACTCCACTCCACTCCACTCCACTCCACTCCACTCCGCCCCGCCAACTCTGGTTCACTCCACCAACTCTGCTCCACTCCACTCCACTCCACTCCGCCCCGCCAACTCTGGTTCACTCCACCAACTCTGCTCCACTCCATTCCACTCCACCCCGCCAACTCCACCCAACTCTTCCTATCTCCAGTCCACTCTACCCAACCAACTCGACTCCACTCCGACCCTGTCATGATATGTGCTAGTCAGACAGAAATGTCATCCACAGTATGCTGTAAACAGCCACAGCTCCTTCCAATATGTTCCTACCTGTATATCTCTAGTGTGAGATGTGGCATATAAACAGCGGGGCAAAAGAAATTATGTAAATTGAATTATACCAAAAATTACAAAGGTTATCAAAATGTTACTAGGCTGAAAACAGTCGTTGAAACACTGAATACTAAAGGTCCAAAACACAACTATGACACCCTTATCAAATACATTATCACCGAAGAACCATCTTTTGTTTGCAATCCATCAAACGTGGGTGTATACTTTCTTTTGCCTGGCAGTTTAGCTGTAAATATAGATGTTTGATGTGTAACTAATAAAGAGTGGGACGTTGAATTCAGCACTGCAACCAGTTTCACATGGACAGTCTCTATGGTTTGTTTGTTTGTTGTTTAACGCCGCACTCAGCAATATTCTAGCTATGTGATGGCAGTCTGTACATAATCGAGTCTGGACCAGACAATCCAGTGATTAATATCATGAGCATCGATCTACGCAAATGGGATAGATGAAATGCATCAATCAAGTCAGTGAGCCTGACCACCCGATCCCGTTAGTCGCCTCTTACAACAAGCATAGTCGCCTTTTACGGCATGCATGGGTTGCTGAAGACCTATTCTACCCAGGATCTTCACTGGTCCAGTCTCTATGGGCTCACCAAGTTGTCTTAGTGTTTTCTATGGACTGCCTCTGTAGTCTAGTGGATAGAGTGTCTGCACGAAGATCGGAAGGTCAGTGGTTCAATCCCCAGCCGTGTCATATCAAAAGGCGTTACAAAATGGTACCCTGCCTGGCATATTTGTCATTAATGGAATAAAACAAGGACAGATCGGTGCGGAGTCAGTACACTGTGTCTCATGTTAAAAGTATGGCATGGTATCTCAGAGGGCTGGCACTACAATAAAGTCCGGACTAGCACAAGCAACCACATACACTTGCATGCACATCGCTATATGAGTGCAATATTCTTGAATGTGTTGAACCCCATTTCACCTCACCTCACCACATTTCTGTATCATATTTTTGAACAGGGTACATATATGTGTAGGTGAGGTGAATTGTGATTTAATGTGGCGTCCAAGATTACTGCACTTATATAACGACATGTGTCTGTGTGTGTCTGTGTCTGCTTGTAATACTCCGAACTTATGCCAATTTTATCGTGCTAGCCCACTGAAATACCATGCCGCAGTTTAACATGAATACCCCACTCAGACACAGTATACTGACTCCGAGCAGACCTGTCCTTGGTTTTAGCCCCTTAATGCCGAGTGCCAGACAAATACCACTAGACCACGGAGGTGGTCCATGTATATGTATCCAGAAGGGTACCTGGGGTAGTACCCGACAAGACAATTCCCCCTTCAGTGTAACTTATTACAAGACTATAGGGTTGCGACGGGTACTCGAGTACCCGATAACGAGTCAGGTAGCCTAGGACTCGTCCAATTTTCAGGACTCGAGTACCCGTTCAGGGGAGATAACTCGTAAGTCACTTCAAAATGGACGACAAAGCGGACACACGTTCAAATGTTTGGGCATATTCTGACCTTGATGACACAAAGAAAAAGACCAAATGCCGTCTCTGTGGCATATGTATCAGCTACGCAGGTAGTTCGACGAGTTCCATGAAAAAGCATCTAAGTTTTAAACACAAGAGCATTTACTTTGATATTCTGCGTCACTTGTGGTTTTAGGTAAGCCATGCAGGCATTTAATAAAAAACATAATACCTTAGAATAGATCAATAGATGTTTGATGACCTTTTTTTCGCAAAAGCATTACAAACAAGTGGGACAACATTGAACTACGGGTACTCGAGTCCGGTTCGGGTATTGTCTGCCGGGTACTCTAGTTCAGTTTTCATACCCGGTCG